GTTTACACCAAGTTGATATCAGTCTATTGTTTACCATTCCTACTTGTATAATGAGGATTTAAAGTCAGTTTACACCAAGTTGATATCAGTCTATTGTTTACCATTCCTACTTGTATAACTAGGATTTAAATTCAGTTTACACCATGTTGATATCAGTCTACTGTTTCCTTCATACTTGTATAACTAGCATTTACTTTACTACTTGTATAACTAGGATTTAAGGTCAGTTTACACCAAAGTTGATATTAGTCTATTGTTTACCATTCCTACTTGTATAACTAGAATTTAAAGTCAGTTTACACCAAGTTGATATCAGTCTATTGTTTACCATTCCTACTTGTATAACTAGGATTTAAAGTCAGTTTACACCAAGTTGATATCAGTCTATTGTTTACCATTCCTACTTGTATAACTAGGATTTAAAGTCAGTTTACACCAAGTTGATATCAGTCTATTGTTTACTTTATTACTTGTATAACTAGGATTTAAGATCAGCTTACACCAAGCTGATATCAGTCTATTGTTTACTTTACTACTTGTATAACTAGGATTTAAGAACAGTTTACATCAAGCTGATATCAGTCTATTGTTTACTTTACTAATTGTATACCTAGGATTTAAGGTCAGTTTACACAAAGTTGAAATCAGTCTATTGTTTACTTTACCACTTGTATAACTAGGACTTAAGATCAGTTTACACCAACTTGATATCAGTCTATTGTTTACCGTCTTACATGTATAACTAGGATTTAAGTACAGTTTACACCAAGTTTATATGTGTCTATTGTTTACTTTCCTACTTGTATAACTAGTATTTAAGATCAGGTTACACCAGGTTGATATCTGTCTATTGTTTACATTACTACTTGTATAACTAGGATTTAAGATCAGTTTACACCAATCTGATATCAGTCTATTGTTTACTTTACTACTTGTATACCTACGATTTAAGGTCAGTTTACACCAAGTTGATATCAGTCTATTGTTTACTTTACTACTTGTATACCTACGATTTAAGGTCAGTTTACACCAAGTTGATATCAGTCTATTGTTTACTT